CCACCCCGGGCTCCCCCTTTGACTGTGATGAAGCCCAAGAGCTTGCAGGGTCTGAAGACAGCTTGGCAAGCACCTACATGAATCCAGGATACTTCTCAGGCGTGTCCTAGGAAAGATTTCTCCTACTGTAAACTCGCTAGGATCTCTGTCGCAACTTGGAGAATTAATTGCTAATTTAAGGCACAGTCACTCCCAGTGAATAACAGCGATGCGAACTGGCCTGGCACAACATGAAAACACAGATGACCGTGATGTAAGCGTACACCGCTGAACTCGCTGCTACCCACGACTGGCCTAAAATCTGGAAGTGATCAGGAAAAACCACGGAATCTGGTTTTCCAAACAAGATCTGACAAGAGATCAACTCTGTCACCTACTAAATAAGAGAGACAAGAAAGGGATGTTTCCTGGGGAAGATGCAGTGCTCTGTAACAGCATTTGTTTGTCCCACGACGACTCCTACCTACGCAGAAACCTCAGAACACCATGGCCAAAGTCTCCTCAAAAGAGGAAAACCTCAGCTGCACCTCAGAAGAAGGACTTGACTCCAGCCGAGAGCACTGGTAGTAGGAGTGTAAGCTTAAAGAACTGAAAATCAGAATTGAAAGGTGATGAGGAAGAAAACTTTTTCTTTTTTTATGCTTTCTCTTCTGCTTTTATCGGGAACCATCAACGACGTTCCCAACCACCCGTGGTTCACAATCCATGGATCCGTACCAGCAGCTGCGCACCACGACGCTGGCCGGAGGGACAGGCTTCAGAATGAGCAATCTTCCACGCACGGCTTGTCTTCAAAAGAAATATTTACATAATGCTGCCTTTCTCCTGCACAGAGAGGTCATAGGGACAGACAGGAGGGTCATCCCCTTTGCAGGGGCTTTTAAGTCTCAGCAGTGAGGAGCTGAGGGTCCCCCAGATGTCTCCTGGGAAAGGGGACACCAGAGTAGACCCCAGGTGGGCACCAGGACAGACGGTGGCCAGGAGTGAAGGCTGCCTGGAGAACGGCCTCCTGCTCCTTCTCTCATCTGCCGGTGTAATAACCTGCCCTTGATCTTCTTATCTGACTCTTATCTCCTCCAGTAGGTAGAAATTACTACAGGTATTATCTGTAAGCGGTATCACAATTACATAGCTGGTCACAAAAAGATTATATAGCCATTATGCCAGGCGAGGCATAAACACATGGCGCGGGCCCAAGCCGATTACAACCCAACCAGAGAAAGGAATCCGCAGGTAGGTGTAACTGCAAACACAGGGATGCCAAAGAGGTAGCAACAGTAACAGCAAATGCCACTTAAGAAAACATCTGAAACTACATGGACAGTTAAGATTTTTCTGAGCCAGTTACCTCCTAAATTAATCATAGCATGGTTAGAGTTGGAAGGGAACTTAGAGATCATCGAGTTCCAACCCCCCTGCCCTGGGCAGGGACACCTCCCACCAGACCAGGTTGCTCAAAGCCCCATCCAGCCTGGCCTTGAACCCCTCCAGGGATGGGGCAGCCCCAGCTTCTCTGGGCAGCCTGTTCCAGTGTCTCACCACTCTCACAGCAAAGAATTTCTTCTTAATATCTAATCTAAATCTCCCTCTTCCAACTTAAAACTATTACCCCTTGTCCTGACACTACACTTCTTTTTTCACCTTTTTTTTTAATCACCTTTATTTCCACTGCTTCAGTAATAGCTCCTCCTTTGGTTCCATTTTAGCTTAAGCCACCCATATCACTCACCCAGTGCTGTGTTCTGGTCTTAGAAGTCGTTTTGACATGGTAACCTTGGAGTTATTCTACCAATGCTGCATCTCGCTCTTGGAAGAGATTATTTAGTCACCTCAACAACCGCTGGTAATAATTATGCAACAACAAGACCACAAAGGTAAACAGTCCCCAGTGTAACAAAAGCTTGGATTAATTTGCTAATTGTATGTAATCACTGCTGGCACAATCAGGTACACAGAATCAAAAGCTTTAAATTAAATCAAGTTGTGTTAATGCCTATTTTCTTTACTCTGCAATGTTCCAGTGCCTCTAAACCCAGACCAATATCCACACACGCCAAGGGGCCAGCAGTGGTTATGGATTTGCAGGGTCACTGGTCCCTCTGAGCACCCATCCCACCCCCGGGGAGACCACCCACCACCCCAGGAAATTGCAAGGATGGCTCCTGCCAAGGGGGCACCTTCATTCAGTCCCCTCAGATCTGTTGGCATCCCCCAGGCGGTGACAGCATTTTGTTTTATGAGCTATGTGTGCCGTCTCCGAGGTGGAAGGCAGCACCCAATTTTCCACTAATGACCCCTCGAGCAGCCCAGCCCCCCCTTTCTCACAGCTTTAGAGGTAAACTCTTCCACTAGGAACCCCAAAACCCAAATCGACAGGAGTTTATACGAAGGGAAAATGTAAACAACTCTCATGGAACATTAAGAAACTGTTTGTGCTTTAGCGTCATATGTAAAGGAGGAACCGGGGGGTGTCTCTAACTTCAAAAATACCGATTTACACCTACCCAGGCTGCACCAGAGCTGAGCTGGGGTTGTGAAGAGAGGTTTGCCTTGGAGGGAAGAGATGCAGCCCCGTTAGCACAAAGCAGAAGGGTTCAAAAAGGGAAAGAACTAGGAGCAACACACCTTAAAATGCTCCTTACTCGTCTTCAAAGGAAGACGGGGCTGTGTCTGCAGCTGCCACCACCAGCACTGCAGCAGCACAGGGCTCTGAAGTGCCCATCTCCTGAGGCTGGGAGAGCTGCAGCCAGCCCACAGCGCTGCCCTGCAAGAAAATGCTGAGGCCACATTTTCTGAGGCTGAAAGAGTAAAGCTTTCTGCGCCACGCCACGCAAGAATTTAAACCTAGCACTAGAGGCTAGCGGGGGAGCTCAGCTCCAAAGCTGACCATCCTGAGGGAACTTTACTATAAAGCATTTCAGCTCCCATGACCTCCTTTCCCTACCTAGGAAGCTGGTACATGATCTGTTGCCACCAGCTCCAGCTGAGGCTGCTCACTGCGCTGGCACTAGGAGAAAGTCAAAAGCTACGGCAATTGATAGGCACCAGGCTGCAAAGTTAATGGAGACTTTGCTAGGATGAAATAGAAACCTGGCAGCAATGAGCCCATATGGCTTTAGACAGACCGCAAAGGACCATTCCTTTTTCCTTATAGCTTTTTAAAATCGCATCCGAGCACACAGAAGGGTATAAATAGTCAGCCCACCGCTCACTCGCAGCAGGTAGGTAATGCTGTGCAAGCAAGGGAGCTCAAAGGACAAGACAGTGGTATTTTAAAAGCTCTCTGCATTAGCTCCGGCTCCACCGATCCCTGCAGAAGTCTGGCAGCAGGAGCCCAGGCTCTCCCGGCCCCACTGTGCCAGGGAAGCAGGGACATGGACACAGCACATCGAACGGTGCCACGAGGAAGAGAAGGATACAGCATTTCCCACAGGAATAAGAGAGATGTCATTCATCTCTAAGGAGGTTCAGGAAAAATTTACCTGCTGGCCAGGTCCAGCCCACAGGACCTCCTGCTGACCACCCACCTAAGCCCAAACCTGGTCTCATCAAAAATATTCCCTGTCTCTCCAAGGTCCTATGGCCCAGGCTTCGTGGGCAAACAAACCATCACCAGGCTGAGCCTTCTGCTATCAAAAGCCTCCATCATCCACCGACTGCATTTCCATGGCTGAACTTTTCCCAACTTTACTCATCCCTGCTCACCCTGCGCTGATTTCGGCAGAGATTTATCCACACTCCAGAGGAGGATACACACAGCACACACAACTCCCGACACCAGTACGATGCTCATTTGGACCTTTCCTTACTTTTATCCCCCCTTTTTTTTATTTTGCCAAGCCCTCAGTTTCTTCTTAAAATTTCCAAGAATATTGCTGCGTAGATGATAATTACTACACCGCCCAAATAAAGCCCTGAGCATTTTAAAGCAGCAAAACAAGCACCAGAAGCAGGAGTGTGACGCGTTTGCCCTGTGCTAATTTAAAAGGGGGGAAAAAAAAAAAATAAATCTTAACTGTGGGTTTTAATCTTTGCTCCCACCACACAGAGTACCACAGGGTGAGCGTGCGGATGTGAAACTCCCAACGACGCAAACCCCGGCTGAGGGCTGCTACCAACCACTTGTTGTGGCTGGGGCTACCGCCAAGGCAGCACAAAAATACCCCCTTGCATTTCAGGATCTCCCTCCCGCTTCCATCCGCTGCAGCGATTCCCTCGCGCAGCAACGCGCTTTGCCGTGATGGAAGGTGATGATGCAGGATTCCCACTGTCTGCGTACACATTTTACAGAGATAATCTCCTTTTTTTTTTTTTTTTTTTTTGAGGTTAATCCACCAGGAAAAATTACTTCTGAACAAATCCTCCTTCTCAAACACATAAGCCTTTCCTCCTTTGCCGTATTCCTAAATACTCTACTGTCTACTTCAAAACACATCTCCTATCTGTACTTAAAACAGAGCTTCACATGTGGTATTTCTCTGCTTGGGCATTCAGCAGTTTCAGGATGTTCTGCACAGCCAGCTCACGGCAGAGCAAGGTGCAGGGAGAATTTTAACTTAATTTCCAGATGGGTCGGTGCCTGAAGCGCAGCGCCCCGATTCCCACCCGCAGCCGAGAGAAGGGGGGACAACAGACACGTAAGGAAATGAGATAAACCCATCACGGGGAGGGGGGTGGTGGAGAACACCAGGAGTTTAGCGCAGGATTTCTGGCACAATCTTGCCTAACACAAGTGACAGGGAGTTTATTTTTGGTAAAAAGAGAAGGCTCCGACCGCAGAGGGGTGAATCAAGCCGGGAGCAGCCGAGACAGGGGAGAACTGGACCCGCGGCGGCAGGGGGGGCTTGGGGGAGAGGGGGGCGCGGGATGCCGGTGGGATGCGGGATACGGGATGCCGATGCCGGCAGGATGCAGGGTGGGGGAAGCTGGTGGGATGCGCGATGCGGGGTGGGGGATGCCGGTGGGATGCGGGGTGGGGGATGCGGGACGCAAATACTCACCGGACCTCGCTGTAGGCGCCGGCGTAGCCCTCGGCCCAGGGTCCCAGCTCGCTCTTGATGCAGGCGGCGGGGGCGGCGAAGGGAGCCCGCCCCGCCGGGTACCAGGCGTCGGCGGGGAAGTCGGCGGTCTCGGCGGCCGCCCCGCGCCCGCAGCCGAAGGGCCCGGGGGGCGGCTCGGCGCAGGGCCCGTAGAGCTGCCCTTCCTCGGCGAAAAAGGTGGGCCAGGGGGGCGCGGAGCCCGGGGGGACCAGCTCGGTTCCGTAGCGGCACAGTCCTCCCCAGCCGCCTCCCGCCACCGGCCCCGGCGGGGTCTCCAGCTTGATGCGGGCGGGCGGCGGGGCCAGGCTGAAGGCGGGGGGCGGCCGAGAAGCGGGACCCGGCGAACCCCGGTAGAGCCCCGGTCCGGCGGCGGGCGGATCGACGGTCAGGGCGGCCTCGGGGGCGGCGAAGGCGGCCGGGACGGGCGGCGGTTCCGGCGGGTCCCCGCCGGGGGGGCGCGGGGCACGGGGGGGCTCGGCGGGCAGGGCGAACATGCAGTCCTCCCGGGGCAGCGGTTCTCCCGGCGCTTCCAGAGCTTCCAGGGCCAGGCCCATGGAGGCGGACACGGCCCTGCAGAGCTGTTTGGCGCTATCTCCCAACGGGTCCTCCTTGGCCGCCGGCTCGGCCTCGGGCGGCGGCAGCAACGGCAACGCTCCCGCTTCGCACAGCAGCTCCCTCAGCTCCCCGGCGCAGGGAAAAGGGGAACCCATGGCGGGGCCGCCGGTCGGGAGGGTTTTACCGGGGCCGCGGGGCTCCTGGGGCGGCAGGCATGGGGGGGAACCCGGCGGCGGGGGGGGGCTCGGCGGGCAGGGCGGCTGCTGGCTGGTGCCCGGGTCCTCCCGCGGCGCCTGGAAAGCCTCGCAGACGCTCTGGAAGAAGCTCTGGAAAGCCCCACGGAAGGTCCTGCCGCCCGCCCGCGGGTAGACGCGGCCGACCCCCAGCTGCACCTCCATGCCCGCCGGGAGCGAGGAAGCGAAAACGGCAACGGCAGGCGAGGTAAAGGACGGAGAGCCCCCCCCGCGGTAAGCACGGCCCGCCCCTCCCCGACCGTCCCGGCTTAGCAGCCGTGCCTCCCCGCGGCGTCCATCCCCGCCGGAGCGGTCGGCGGGATGCTGGGTGCGCGCAACAGGCGAGGAAAAGTTGGAGGCGGGAGAGCGGGCAGGTGCGGGCTCGGCGGGAGGCTGGCTCCGGTCGGTGTGAGCGGCGGCGAGCGGGGAGGCAGGCTGGCGGGGGAAGGAGGTGCGGCGGGGGAAGCCCGCCCCGCGCCGCCGGCGCCGTCCGGGGGCTCTGCAATGATTAATCCGGTGACCCGGCGCGGAGAGAGAAGCGGAGCTCGCCCTGCCTTCGCCTCGGCTCCCCCTCCGGCGGCGGTGGCGGTGGTGGCGGCGGCGACCGGGCTGGGTTGGGTTGGGTTGGGCTGTGCTGGGCGGCGGGGGCGGCGGCGAACGGAACCCGCGGGGCGGCCCCCGGTACCGCAGCGCCGCCGTCGGCGTTCGCCGTAATTTCTGAGCTCGGCGCTTCACCGGAGCCGGCCCCCACGGGCGGGATAGGACGGGACGGGACTGCCCGACCCGCCGGGGCACAGCGCCCGCCACCGCAACCTCCCGACCGGGCGGAACCGGGGCGGAACCGGGGCGGAACCGGAGCGCGGCTGCCTGGGTTCCCCCGGTTGGCGGGACCGGGTTGGGGGGGGGACGGCAGCAGCAGCCCCGATCCGGGATGGTTCCCCTCCCTCCACGTCTCGTAAGGCGTGGAGTGCGCCCAGCTGGGCGGAATTGAGCGGAAAATCCGCTCTTTTTCCTTGTGGAGCGGTGGGGGGTTAAAAGGCTTCCTCCAGCCCGCCTTGGCCCAAAGGGTCTAACTCGGCACCCGAGCACCTTCCAACCGGGGGGAACCGGGAGTTTGCTCCCGACCTCCCTCTGCTCCACGCTTTGCAATAATCCCCGCTCGCCACCAGCCAGAAACAGCGGGTCCCGGCATCTTGTAGCTACGTATCACCGAAGGTTGAAAAAGACCCAGCAGATAAGCCGAAATAATTAGTGTAGGACCTACCGTAAACAAGACTTGAGCTCCCCTTACTGGCCCTGTAATAACAGTTTTAAAGCAACTTCTAGTAAGCACCGTTCCCAAGCAGCCTGGTAATGGAATCCTACTCGAGATAGGTTTAAATAAGCCCATTAATTTCAATCCCTTTGGAGACAAAAAGGGGGAAAAAAAGTAATAATTTGCTGCAAATGGAGAAGTGGAGCCAGTCGGGAAAAGGGAGAATCGCGTCCGGCCTTTTAAAAGTATTTTTGCAAGCCGTGGAAGATAAAAATAGAAAACTAAGTGCGGCCAAGCAAAATTTGGCAGTGTCCACCCTATGGCCTGAGTGGCCAGAGAACCCAACCTCCCGTCGGCAAAGCTGCTGGAGGAGGCCAAGGGATGGTGCAGAAGGTGAGGACAGTGTCACTGCCCGCCCCACGGACCTCACCCTTCGCTGGTGCCATGGGGCAGGAAGGCAACGGGCAGGGGATGCTGCCCCCCAAGGCAGTGAGGGGTCCAGGACTGTCCCCATCCCTTCCTGGCCATGGGTGAGGAATTTACAGAGGAACCTTGTAGGCTTCCAGTAGGGATGAAGCACCACGTTGGATTTTAATGACAAGTAATAGAGCCTTTAAAATAATACAGAAGCACAGGGAAAACCCTAGGAGGTAAAAATAGAGGGAGATAATGCAAAATATGTGCAAAGTGGCTATTTAAACACTGGTGGGTCTCAGCGATCCCACCTGCATCACTGGAGATGGGTCAGGCTGAAGCTCGGTGTGGGCTCCCTCCCTGCCTGTGGCCCAGAAGCCCCAGCCCAGTGATTTGGGGACAGTCCCAGCCCTGCAGGAAAAAGGAGCTGCAGCCCCAGAAAGGAGAGCAGGGACCACGAAGGGAGACAGTCAGAGAGGTGTTTGGGAAGGATGGAAAGAAAACCTGTAGAGATGAGAAGGATGTTTGTGTGGCCAAGCGTTAACCACGTTACAAACTGTTCTCCATGTACCCACCTGGGGAAAAGCCTGCGAAGAAATGTCTCCTGCAGAAGTAAGGTTGTGTACATCACTTTGCAAAGATCTGATATAAAGCTTTAATTGGATTTTCTGAAAGATTAGTGCCATTAGTACCTCTTTTTTTTCCCTCTTGGACACTGATGAGTGTATGAAATCACTCTTCCTCCCAGCTGGGCAGTAATAATGATAGTCTAATTTTACTGCAGAGCTGCTCTGCACTTCAGAAACGATGGCAAAAACCTAGAGGCACAAACCCAGGATTCACAACTGAATCTTGTTATGATATCCCCTGTAAACGATGCAAATCCCACCCCTCCCCCCGCCCTCCATCCCAAAAAAGTTAGCTGTTGCCACAAATTCCTGCAGGTACCTGCCAAGTGGATGCAGATTCCAAGTGGTTTTGCTCTTTGAGCCTCCCAAGAGTTGTCAAGCTCCTGGAGCGAAATATATAGATGGAAATATATAGATGGAAAACATCAAGGGGGGGATTCTCATGATTAGCATCACGAAATGGATTGAAAAAAAACACGAGGATCGGAGATGTGGTGTAATATCCCGTAAGAAACAGATAGCTTTGTGTTTTAAACCAAAAGCGGATTATTCACTGACAAGCCCTGACAAACCAGGGAAGAACTTTGTTTGACATCACCGTTCCCACCAAGGAAGAAATGTCCCCAGTTCGAACTCACTGAAAACACCAGGAGCCGTGAAGTCTTTGGTACAAGTGAGATTTTTTTATGGTCAAAGAGCCTTTTCTGCTAAGGATGGGATATATTTGGGTCTTCGCATGTGTCTCCTGGCTCTCTGTCTCTTGTCCTGCTGCTCTCGATGTTCTCCTGTGCTCTCCCATCTCCACAACATCTGCGGGTGCGTGGATTTTCCCACAAGCTGGAGTTTGCTGCCGGGCTTTGGGAGATGCAAATCGCAGCAGATGCGCATCAGGGAAGACTGCAAAATGGTTTATGTTCTTCTTAGTTTACAGAGCCAACTTTTAGTTTTGACTGATTGTCTGCGTGGTTAAGACGTATTATTTTAAAAGCAATTTTGTGATTACATCTCCTCGTAAATCTCAAGAAATCATTTTTCATTTCTTTCTTCTTTTTTTCTTTTTTTCCTAAGTATGTTTCCTGAAAAGGCATTTTGCAAGCGTTTTGTTTTCCTGGTATTCGCACGTTTCTTTTAAAAATTATTAAATGTTAATGGCTTTTCTGGATGTGTATGTGTCTGGCTGAGCATGCTATTTTTTAAAAACTTAATGTATTTTAATTTTTTATACCTAATTGATGAAGAAATATCCGTACTGATTTTTCAGGGAGTGTTTTACTCGCAGTTACTATCTTACAAATACTAAAATGTAGCTTTCTTTAAGTGTTTCAGAGTTCTTTTACGGGTTTCATTACAGCTGAGTTAAATCCTTTCCATAAAAATCACTCTCTCCAGTTTAGAAGTCAACCACAATCTCAGCTTGCATCTTGAATTCCGAGCGCTATATATTTAAGACAGTCAAATAGGCATTGTCTATGGAGAGACCAGCCAAAAACCTGGGCAAATGTGTATTTTTCCTGTATGCAGATGTAGTTTTGGTTATGAAATTGGTGAAAAAATGAGCAGCAGTATGAGCCTGCGCATGTCTTGGAAAAGTGCCTTTCTGGTAAATGTGTCTGTGCTTCTCCTTCAGAAGGGAGTCGAAGAACGTGTTACGGATTGTTTGCCTGGACCTTCCGCCCGCCTGTCGGAGGCTGAGTTAAAGTATTCATGCATTTTATTGCATTTTATTGCTAAAACGTTAAGGCAGACTGGAAGTATTCCCTTTCACTTTCCTGCCCTACGAACACCGTAGCATTCTTTCCTAACATTCCACTGGTACTTGGGTTTATTCATTACATGTAAGTGTAATTAGTGGTGGTGAATGGAGCTAAATCCAGCTGGCGTCCAGTCACGAGTGGTGTCCCACAGGGCTCAGTACTGGGGCCACTTCTCTTTAACATCTTTATCAATGATCTGGACGAGGGGATCGAGTGCACCCTCAGTAAGTTCGCAGACGACACCAAGCTGGGTGGCAGTGTTGATCTGCTGGAGGGTAGAGAGGCTCTGCAGAGAGATCTGGACAGGCTGGATCGATGGGCCGAGACCAACGGGATGAGGTTTAACAAGGCCAAGTGCCGGGTCCTGCACTTCGGTCACAACAACCCCAAGCAGCGCTACAGGCTGGGGGCAGAGTGGCTGGAGAGCTGCCTGGCAGAAAAGGACCTGGGGGTGTTGGTCGACTGTCGGCTGAACATGAGCCAGCAGTGTGCCCAGGTGGCCAAGAAGGCCAACAGCATCCTGGCCTGTATCAAGAACAGTGTGGCGAGTAGAGCCCGAGAGGTGATTGTCCCCCTGTACTCGGCACTGGTGAGGCCCCACCTCGAGTACTGTGTCCAATTTTGGGCCCCCTACCACAAGAGGGACATTGAGGTGCTGGAGCGGGTCCAGAGAAGGGCAACGAAGCTGGTGAGGGGTCTGGAGCACAAGTCTTACGAGGAGAGGCTGAGGGAACTGGGGTTGTTCAGTCTGGGGAAGAGGAGACTGAGGGGAGACCTTATCGCTCTGTACAAGTACCTGAAAGGAGGCTGTAGAGAGACGGGGGTCGGTCTCTTCTCCCAAGTTACAGATGATAGGACAAGGGGTAACGGCTTCAAGTTGCGCCAGGGGAAGTTCAGGTTGGATATTAGGAAACATTTCTTTACTGAAAGGGTTATCCAGCATTGGAATGGGCTGCCCAGGGAGGTGGTGGAGTCACCATCCCTGGAGGTATTTAAGAAACGTGTAGACATGGTTCTTCAGGGCATGCTCTAGCGCCCAAGATGACTGGTTTGTGGTGGGGTATTGTGTGGGTGGGTGATGGTTTTTTGGTTTGGAGGTTGTTGTTGTGTGTT